CTTGGTTTGCAAGTTGACCAAGAGTTTTTATGGGTTGAAGCAAACACCTAGACAATTGTACTTGAAGTTTGATAGTTTTATAAGTAGGATAGGATACAAGAAGTGTGTCATGGATCAGTATTGTTATATGAAAAATTTTAGTTCATCCTACATCATATTACTATTGTATATTGATAACATATTAATTGCAGGTTCTAACATGGATGAAATTAATAGATTGAAGACACACTTGTCTGAAGAGTTTGAGATGAAAGATTTGGATAATGCAAAGCAGATTTGGGGCATAAATATTAGTAGGAACAAATTTGAAGGTTCCCTAATATTATCTCAAGAGAAGTATATTGGGAAAGTGTTAGAGAAATTCAATATGCAGAATGCCAAAAATTGTAAGTACACCTTTGGGAGTTCACTTTAATCCCACTCAAGAGGAATCACCTAAGACAAATGAAGACAAGGAAGCAATGACTAAGGTTCCTTATGCATTTGCAGTTGGTAGTTTAATGTATGCAATGGTATGCACTAGACCAGACATTGCTCATGTAGTGAGAGTTGTTAGTAGATTTATGTTTAATCCAGGAAGGAAACATTGAGAAGTTGTCAAGTGGTTGTTACATTACTTGAAAGGTACTTCTAAAATTGCATTATGTTTTAGAAGAAATGATGTCATTTCACTACAAAAAAAAACGCTTATTATCTACGGGTAAAATCCGTAGGTAATGACAAAAATCCGTAGGTAATGTCACTTTACCTACGGATTTTCTACGTCCGTAGGTAATGTCACTTTACCTACGGATTTCTTTCCGTAGAAAATCCGTAGGTAATTTGGTCGTAGGTAATTACCTATGGATTTATAATCCGTAGGTAATGCACTCGCGGTAATTACCTACGGATTATAATCCGTAGGTAATGCACTCACCTTAACAAAACAAAATATTTTTATTCATTACCACCTCCCTTATTTTTTATTATTACCTAGAACCCCCTCCCCTTTATATTATATTTTTATTATTTATTATATTTTCGAAACTTTGAATTATTATTAATTAAGGGAATTGTCATTAGCAGGATTTGAACCCGAGTACCTCGAGTTGGAGGCTGATACTCCAACCACTAAGCTATTAGGATATTTTGAAAATAATTTACAAATAAATTATATTTATATTTATCCGTCTAAATATATAAATATAAAATATATAAATATAAAATATATATAAATATAAAATATATATAAATATAAAATATATAAATATAAAATATATTTATATTTTGATATATTTATATATTTATACATTTATACATTTGTATTTATATATTTATATTTATATATTTATGTATTTATATATTTATGTATTTATATATTTATCTATTTATATATTTATGTATTTATGTATTCATATATTTATGTATTTATATATTTATGTATTTATGTATTTATGTATTTATATATTTATGTATTTATATATTTATGTATTTATATATTTATATATTTATATATTTATATATTTATATATTTATATATTTATATATTTAAATATTTAAATATTTAAATATTTAAATATTTAAATATTTATATATTTAAATATTTATATATTTAAATATTTATATATTTATGTATTTATGTATTTATGTATTTATATATTTATATATTTATATATAAATATATTTATATATTTGTATATTTATATATTTGTATATTTATATATTTGTATATTTATATATTTATATATTTTTATATTTTATATTTATATATTTTATATTTATATATTTTATATTTATATATTTTATATTTATATATTTATATTTACACGAATTAATATAAGTATAATTTAGTTGTAAATTATTATTAGAATATCCTAATAGTTTAGTGGTTGAAGTATCGGTTTTCAACTTTAAGGTACTGGGTTCGATTCTTGCTAGTGACAATTCTTTTAGTTTAATATAATTTACCTACGGATAATATCCGTAGGTAATGGATAATTACTCACGGAATGTACAATTTACCTACGGATTTTCATCCGTGGGTAATATCCGTAGGTAATGTAAAATTTACCTACGGATTTGTATCCGTAGGTAATAGGGGTTTTTTTTGTAGTGTTTTGGAAGGATATTCCGATGCAAATTTGGGATATTGTTTAGATACAAGGAAGATTACTACAAGATTTGTCTTCAAAGTAGGTGGCACAACAATTAGTTGGATGTCTCAACTTCAGAAAAGCGTTGTACTCTCAACCACAGAAGTAGAATATATGGCTATTTCGGAAGCCAGTAAAGAAGTGATTTGGTTGAAGAATTTTCTTGAAGAGTTAGGAAAGAAGCAATGTGACAGTGTTCTTTATAGCGATAGTCAGAGTATCATTCATCTTGCAAATAATCCTATTTTTCATGCAAGAACAAAGCACATCCAGTTGAAGTATCACTTCATTAGAGAACTAATAAGTGATGATACTTTGTTTTTGGAGAAGATCATTAGGTTAGAGAATCCTACAGATATGTTGACCAATGTGGTTACTACTGAGAAGTTGAAGTTTTGCATGATTTTAACTGGCCTTCATGGTTTATTATTGAGAAGGCATTGAATTAGTTTGAGGTTGTTATAACTTTGAAATTATTACTTTATTTACTTTGGAGTGTACTTGATGTGATCAACGTTCAAGTGAGAGATGGTTAAGTATGTGAAGTTTGAAGTGTTATTGGACCTGACTCATTTATTTATTCTTTTATTATAAGTACTCATATAATTGTAAACCTAATTGTACGAATGAGAACTATAATCTAGTGCAGTCGTGGACATATGTCACTTTGACTGAAACACGTAATATACAAAATTGTTTTATCATTGAATGACAACTAGGATTATGTATATCCATGGGTTAAACAATTATGAAGAATTAAAGCTAGGTAAAGTAATAGGAGAATAGAGTTGTTTTAAGAATATGACCTTGTTCCAATGCATGTTCATTGCATAATTAGAACCAACAAAATGAGTTTAGAGATTAACATGCGATTAACAAATGTGATGATTGAAAAGTGTTATTCGAAATTTATTTGATAATGTTTTATTACTATTACTTATTTTTGGTAATATCTACATCAATCATGGACCAAAGGAAGGACAAGTAGGATATTATAAAATTGTAATATTTTAAAACAGTTTTATTTTTTTAAATTGACAATATGAGATTTGAATAGATGTTTGAAAATTTCAGTATTCGTATATCGTAATTGTTATTATTTATAATGATAACAGTGGGAAGTGAGGATGGACGGAAATAAATATCTTAGTTGCATGTATTTGAAAATGAATAGATAAAATCGAAGTTTTGATTTAAAAAAAAAATAAAAATGTAATGAAGTCTGAAATAAATGAAGATATGGTGGGAGATATGAAATGAAAAGTTGAGTTAACCCATACATGGGATGGGGACACTGAAATGGTAGCCACAAAGGGAAGAAGCACTTGTTGAAAGATGATGTTTGTGTTTGTGTTTATGAAAATGCAACTCTCCTTCTCACCTCACTCACTCACTCATTTGATGAAGGCATCATCACCTTCACCTTTGTAGATTTTGTTTGTCTTTTTTTGGGTGCAGTCCTACCAGCCATTTTGAAACACCCTGTTCCCTATTTTGTTCTCTTTCCTTTTCCAGCAATTCTCCATGTAAATAAATATTTTCCTCCATTATCCTTCATCTTTTTTCTCTTCCCTCTTCTATTCTTTCTCATTTCTTTTCCCCCCATTCAACAACCTCATCAAATTATGAACCCCTTCATGGCCTTAGCTGTCGATCGTTAACAATTATCCACATATCCAGAGTCATTCACGTACATACCATATATATTTCTACAACCATTTAAAATATAATGACTCATTAAAATTTCTTACAATTTTCTCTTTATAAATAGTTTTCACAAGTAATCCAAAAATAAAATATTTTTTTTTAAATCATACTTTAAATTTTAAAGTATATTCATAAGTTTATTTTGAATAATAATATAATATAATTTATATTAAATAAAATACATATTTAAAATAAAATAAATTATTTAATATATTTTAAAATATGTTAAACTAAGGTAAATATTTTAAAAATTATAAATAATTTATTTAATTAATTATATAATATTTGTTATGATAAATATTGTAAAATTTAATATTTTAATAAATAATTAACTTTTAATATTTTTTTCCAAATTTAGTAAATTATTTGGTCCATGTTTACTTAATCAACTATTCTCACTTTATTCAATCAAGTATTGAGTTAACATTCATACTATTTATAATTTTTAAAATATCTATCTTAATTTAAAATATTTAAATATAAAATATATATTTTATTTAAATTTAGACTAAATTATATTATTATTTTAAATAATTTTTTAAAAATATTTTAAAGTATATTTTTTCAAAAATTTAATCACTTTTTTATTTATTTTAGATAACGTGTGAGAAATAAATTATTTTATTACTCAAAAAATATTAAGTATTTTAAATTATTTTGAAGTACATTTTTTTAAAATATTTAATCAAATTTTATTTTAAATAATTATGAGAAAATATTTAAAGAAAAAAATGAAAGATAAAATATAAGTGGGAGAAAACTATATTAATAAAAGAGAAATAAAAAGAAAAAAATGTTAGGTTAAATACAAATAAGTTATCTAATTTTAAATGATTACGTACGTGTAAATATTATGAATTAGGTAAATATCCATGTTACAATTATTCTATCCACTCCTTTGATTTTATGGGGGAAAATAAGGTTTCATCTATAATCATTTTACGTCATTACATATTATATCTTTATATTTATGTTCAACAAAAAATATTTGTATACAAATTTTCTTTTATGTTAAAACTAGTGTTTAGTTTGATATATATATATATATATAGAAGGTAAACGTTGTGTTTTATGTTATTTCAAAAGGTAAACATTTGATGCACTATATTTTGAAATTACTTAAGTGGTTGTAAGAAATATTCTTAAAGTTCAATCGATTGTTCAACCTGTAAAATAAAATAAAAAATTCAAATGTTTAATCAAATTGAATTTAGTTTAATAAAATAATTTTGTATATATTTTTAATAATATACTAAATCTAAAATAAATTATTAATGATTACAAACCTTTTCAAAATAACTACAATTATAATAAATATTGTCATCATTATATTATATTATAGTAAGAAGTCAGAGTGAAGGTTCAATATATAAAATATAATGGAAATGAATAATTCAATAGATTGAGAATAAGATAAAACATAGGTAGCTATTAGTTAAAATTCAGTTGACTCTAAAGTATAGGAAGTAAACAAAATTTAAAAATAAGAAAAGCAACTATATTATCTAGAGTTGGCATGGTTATATATATAACACAAAAGAAGAAGAAAAAATTAAAATGTCTCATCCTTTAAAAAATTTAAAATCTTTTGACTTGAGGAAAAAAAAATCATGAAATTGATTTCATCTTTAAACATCTTGATTTTACCAATTTTGACCATTTTAAATTGGTCTTTCCCGTTTTTATAAGGTTCAATGTAAAAATTCCTCTTCTTAGAATGATAAGAAGCTTTAAAGTTTTGTTTTTTATCACATTTTTTTATTTAGTGACTTATCTGTATTCTTATCGTTTAGAATATATCATTTCCTAAAAACATGGAATGCTTATCTCTCTTCTACAAGTTTGTAGTCTCAATCTACTTGTGAAATGATAGAATATTTCAAAAATCCCACGTCAACTAAATAAATAAATAAATTATAATATACAAATAAGATATAAATCTTATTTTACAAATCAATTTTATATAATTAAATTAGTTCATCATCACTTTCTAATATAATAGTAAATTTATAAATATAAATTATTTTATAAAATTGTGAGACAGGATAAACTTTGCAGTGAGAGATTAGTGGTCCTTGTGCAGTCTGTAGATAGTGGTCATGCATGGAGTTATTTTGTGATATGTTTTATTTTGGATGTGACCATGAAGTCGCATTTAACTTAATCTAATGCGAATCTAAACGTACAGTAATATTGATTCTCATATTGTTCATTGAAGAAAAAGAAGCACTTTGAATCAGATAGAAGCTGGGAATGGTCGTAGAAGCTAATTCGGTGATCTTATCAGTGGTGAACGCAATGGCTCATAAGAAGAGTAGGAAAAGGGAAATGAGGGCGCAGAATCTTTTACACCTTAAATTCAAAAGGCATTGACTTAATTAGCATCTTTTTTCAATGAATAAATATAACCCACGTAGTGAGGAAGCGATGAAAGTGTTGAATCTTTGCTAATATTTGAACCAGTCACAGGCAACCATCTGCTATATGCTACCCAAAAGTTCCTCACATGAAATAAGAGCCGTGTTAAATCCACGTTCTTTTCTTTATTGGGTTCCAAAGCCAACCGCATCAGGTTCACATCCTGATAGGGATGGAACTCAAAAACTTCCATTCAGATTTGGACTTTGTACTTGGTTCATGTGTTTAGAGACATAGGATAAGCATTGGTTGTTTATTGCTCACATTGTGGATAAGGCATATATATTTAGTCAAAAGTACAAATGTGCTGCTGTTACAATCTAATAGGAAAAACCTTGGGATACGACACAGTCACACAACTTTGTCCGATTTGCAGCGGAACACATGTTCGATACACTTTGAGGGAATAAGAATTGAGAATTATTTCTATTTGATACTCATCATTTCACAAGACATTCAGTGCCAAAAAGTGTTAGTTATAATAATAATACAAGCAGTTAGCTTCACTCGTGTGGTACTAATTGAATCATAGTGCAGTAGCATCGGATTTGGCACAGTTGTTAGCATATCAACATCTCTGTGGATGACGTAAACTTGTGCTGAGTGGGGACTCAGATAAATAACAGCAGCAAATTACCCAACTGTGTCAATGTATAAGCAGTGGCAGAGATTTTGGAGCAAATAGAGTTTTGGAAATGACAGAAGATTAATATTATTATGGAAAGTGGAAAGTGGAAAGTGGAAAGTGGAAGGTTAGACTTGGTGTAGGTGAAAGTGGCATCCAAACAAGGAATAAAGAATTTATGTGTTCTGAATTGGAAAGGAGAGGAATGGGGCAGAGCCGTACTGGTTTGGCACTTATCTTTTGCAATCTCTTTGCATATCTAACAAGAAGATTCATTTTTGCTTCTGTGGATGCGGCTCATGGCCTAGCTAATAAGTTCCAAAATTAACTTGGCCATGATTGCAAGCGTGGAACAAGAATAATGCTGTTCTTGGACAATATCTTCTACACTCTTTTTAAGATTTACCCAGATATCTTTTTCTAAAAGCATCATAATTGATTAGGTTCCTATTTCTCCCCCATTTTCGCACGGTTCACTCCATTTTTCTTCTTCCATTTACAGGGCAATAATACACATCTGCAACACAGTTCACAAAGAATGGATCATGATGAGTTCAACAACATTCCAACCCATAAAGGAATGGCACCTAATAGCTTAACTAACTGGGGGTTCCCATTTAATCCCACAATATTCCTTTCACCCTTTTCATTTCACTCCCTCCTACAAGGCCCTGCTTTCTCTAATCTTTCTTTTGTACTAATTAATCATTACAAGAATAAGAATTTGTACTTTTATTCATAACTTTTCCTATACTTTTTAATTCAGTTTCTTAAACATGCTTTTTATCATTATTAAAACTTTAAGGTCATACTTTTTTTTAAGATATGTTTTCTCAGCACATCTGCTTTTTAATTCACACTGTGGATGATAAAATTCTGATTCTCATTATTCAAAATAATTTAATTATTGAATGACCCTTTCTCTCTTAATTTTTAATAAATTTCGATCAATAATGAAATGTGGGTTAGAAAGATTAATATTGACTACTATTTGATTAAGTTACTGAATACGGTTCAATAAAAATCCAACATATAATAAAATTATGTAATTTATAATAATTATTTAAATTAAATTTATTAGAACTTGTAATTGATTAATAATATAACTTGTAATTTACAAATTTTGACGTTGTAAACATTCGCATTATTCTTAATAGAAAGATATTAAAATAAATAAATAAATAAAATCGAATTTAAGATCACAATAGAAAGAAAAGGATGAGTTGATGGCTATTATTTACCTCTGAAAAGTTAAGTGGACCAAAAACATAACAGGAAATAGCATATATATGGTGAAATTGATGTGTGAAAGAATGCTAGGAATCTATCAACGTGGCTCAAAAAAGCACACTTGGATTTTTCAAAAGCTAATGCTGAACTGTACTTATGCTTAAAAATGCTAATCCAACAAGACATTACCACAACCTGCAATCTCAGTTTCAGTTGATTCTTAACAGGAAAAAATTAAATAAAATACAATGTCGTGTCATCAGCTACCATCTACGTTAGTACAATACCAAAGGTGGGTATTATGAATTATTTTCTATCAGATCAAACATGCTAAAAAAAAAAGTGTGGATGAAGGAATGAAATATATATATAGGTTGTTTGTTAGGGTGCGCGTGATATGCAATAGTTCTATAAATGCATATGGAGAAACATGTTTTTGTTTATTCCTTCAAATCTAAATTTTCACGCTTCAACTTGTTTTATTGGTGATAGAGAATCAAAGGACAAAAATAAAATTTGTTGTTTACATTCTTTTAATTGGTAATTGTAAGAATAGAGGCATGAAAATAACATTAACATGTTATATGATTTTCTTTCCACATGTAGATGAGATCAAGAAACCCATCTTATAAGGAGTCCACATATTCAATTTGTAGTGAAATAAATATGACAAATCAAAAAAACAATTTTTTTTAACCCATAATTATGAACAACATACGCATAAGTTTAATGAATATTGGAGATATGCATGAGTTTTTGCATGTTAAAACTGGATGATTTTATATCGATTTATGTACCCTTTTATAGAATTTTAATTAAATTATAATTATCTAGTGGATTTAGGAGATAATTTATCTTAATTTGGTAATTGCTTGTTGTGATAATCCGCAAATTCTACTTAAAATTTTTTACTAAAAGAAGGAAAGAAATAATTGTTTCACCTATGAGAGATATAATAGTTCAGTTTACAATCATCCAGAATAGTTGGAAAAAAAAAACATCACACATCAAAAGTCATAATTACACTAATGGTTTACGCATAATATATAACCCAAAATAACTTCTTCAAATTTAAGAGGTTTGTACTCCATTTCTCAAATTATTGGATGTTACTACCACCTGCGGAAGATTTAGAATCTGCTCACATGTATAACACGATCATAACGGGATCCCAAAAGATCAAGCACACAACAAAAGTAAGGGTACACTACCATTTGATTAAACATGTAGAACAATGTAACATTGTAAATGACACTTATTCATTCACAAACATCCTAAAACTAGACTCACCGGAGAGTCTAGTATTTTACAATCACAACACACAACAAGACTGACGCTTTCCGGAAAACTATATGGAATTCAGACTAGTAAGGTAGACACTGATGAGGAATATTTGGGGTCCCAGACCCTTAAAATTTCATGGCCCCAGACCTATAATATCATTTTTTTCAACCTCTCATCAGAGCAACACATGCATAGGATTGACACTATGTTGTATCTCCATCGACTTCCCATCACAGATGTCTTCGTCTATATGATTAGGAACATCTTGGATGTCTGGATACCCTATTACGCCTATCCATAATTTCATACACATTATTCTACACAGTACATCAAATCTATCATTCAACAACTATTCCATACACACTATTCTACTTAGGGTTTCTAGAATCAAACCAACATCATGCGGTTCACTATGTCCAGTCCAACATTTAAAATTCTCAACTACTATGCAATCATAATTCACTTAAAACGGTACATTCTTTCTCCTTCAAACCACACAAACCAACCATACAATTTAGATATTCAATTGTACAAAGATATCTATTTCAGCCAATCTATTTCAAAACAGTTTACACTGCAAGATTTCCACAAGTGCTCACAATATCATACCACCTACAACACGTATATATAACACAAGCATACTCATCACCTTTCTCCTTCAAACCACACAAACCAACCATACAATTTAAAAATTCAATGATACAAAGATATCTATTCCAGTCAATCTATTTCAAAACAGTTTACATTGCAAGGTTTTTACAAGTGTTCACAATATCATACCACCTACAACACGTATATATATCACAAACATACTCATCATTCACTTTATTTAACTTTTCATCAATACAATACAGCCAGTAAAAACCAAAGAAGTCGCTTTTACCTGTGGGTGATGTTACACGTCAACCTAATTCCAATAAAGTCTTAGGAACGCCAAAACACCTAAGAGGTACCGTTCTCCCCCAATTTGGAAAACCCTAAAAACGAAATTGAAGCAATAAACAGAATTAAACCCGAGAACATGAAATTGGGGAGTGACAGAGTAAGAGGAAACCTTTAATTCTACAAATAATTCTTTAAATTCTCAAAACCCCAAATTTTAACTTGTAAAAATCCTAAAATTCAAACTTACCGAAATGAAATTCTAATCGGTGGGTCTTCTGCTGATCTCCGCCGTGAACACAACGGCGGCCTCGGATTCTTGATCGAGGAAGAAGAAGATCCTGATCCGTAAGAGAGAAGGTAGAGCTGAGCTATGGAGATGAGATTTGTTTGCACAAAAGATAAATGAACTCAAATTTTCTCTCTTTTCTTCTTTTTTATTTTCTTTTAATTAAAGCATATTACACTTATTCAATTAGTTTCACTCCTTGAAATTCTAATAAGAATATTTTTACAAATTTTTTATAAAAATTACAAAAAATAGTTTCCTACAAATTTAAATAATTTTTCATAAAAAAATTGTAAAAAATAATTATTTTTTTTAGTAATTTGTTAATCTAGATTCCCTCTACGTATTAACTGTACCATCATTGATTAAAGTATATAGAATAATTGCTTTAAGTTGTGTTGTGCCAAGATGAAATGAATTTGAGATATGTTTTATGGAATAATTAATTTTTTCTTCATTTATCAAAGAGTGGTGGAGTAGTTCATATTATCCAAGACGAGTTATTATTGACATGCCAATTTACGTTCAGATTTTTTTTCCAAGAAAATAGGTTAGACTTACTTTTTTATGAAAACTTTATTTAATTAAAAACGTTTTTACACTATTTTGGAAAACCTTTCAGGTTTAAGAGAATATTATAAGTAAATAGAAACAATAAATTTGTGTTTATATTACTACTATTTAATTTATTAATTAATAATAATAATTCGTAATTACTAAACATATAAAATAATAATAATAATATGATCATTATTATTATATTAGCGTGTATATATAATATAAAATGATATAAGAAAATTATAATTATTAATAGTTCTATTTAAACTAATAATATAATTAAATTGTGTAATCTTTCAAATATATCACAATAAAATAAACCTTC